ATCATGCTGATTATTAAAATGAATGGGATTACTGTAAGGTCATGACGAATTTTTAAACACTTCGCACAAGTCAATAAAATTCCAGAGACTCCTAAACATATATTTGGCAAGAAAATTGATGCCATCTCTGAATTTTTTTCCGATTTAGATTAAATCGATTTTGAAGGTTAAAATTTTCGTTCTGATTACTGATCAAAATAAGGGGATTCGTCATTAATCACGAGTAATTTCTGTACAAAAAATCACAGAATAATTCTGCATGGTTACTTTATCATGAAATTGAGAGTCATCATCAGATTTCATAATCATGATATATTTTCAACATATTGCTATTAGATCTATTTCTTTGAAATAAAGATAACATCGCATGAAATATACCGTAATATTCTTTTAAACGCTAATTATTAAATTCAGAGTCACCAGCAAGATTGAAACAACGTATTTATCTTAATTTTTTTATGCGCTACACATCTTTAGGGAATTGTCTAATTTAATATTTCCATTCAAAGTATTAAGCTAAACATCGCAGAATAAGGTCCAACCTAGCAGTACTGAGCTTAAAACTGCAGTATTAATTTCTACATTGCAGTATTACACATAACATCATAATATTAGACTCAACATCGCACTATTAGACCCAACATCGCAGTATTACACATAACATCGTAATATTAGGCTCAACATCGCAGTATTAGACATAAAATCGTTTAAATGTTAGACACAACATTGCAGTATTAAGCCCAACATCGCAGTACTAGACATAACATTGCAGCATTAGAAATAACATCGTAATATTAGCCACAACATTGCAGTATTAGACATAAAATCGTAATATTAGACACAACATCGTAGTATTAAACCCAACATTGCAGTAATAGCCCAAACATTACAGTATTAGACACAACATCATAATATTAGACCCAAAATTGCAGTATTTGACCCAACATTGCATTATTAGACCCAACATTACAGTATTAGACACAACATCGTAATATTAGACTCAACATTGCAGTATTAGACATAACATCGTAATATTAGACTCAACATTGCAATATTAGACACAACATCGTAATATTAGACTCAACATTGCAGTATTAGACATAACATCGTAATATTAGACTCAACATTGCAATATTAGACACAACATCGTAATATTAGACCCAACATTGCAGTATTAGACATAACATCGTAGTATTAGACTCAACATTGCAGTATTAGACACAACATCATAATATTAGACTCAACAATGCAGTATTAGACACAACATCGTAATATTAGACTCAACATTGCAGTATTAGACACAACATCGTAATATTATACCAACATTGCAGTATTAGACATAACATCGTAATATTATACCAACATCAATACGTTACCAGGGATCCACTGCCTTGTACAACTCCCTCTACATCGCGAGGTTCCAATGATAAAGGAAACATCTGCTATAATTTTTGTACTTTAAAAATAGCATCATTCGTGTCAAGTACTTTGGAAATGAGGAAATTACAGATTTAATTTTTTACAACGTAAACTTGAATTGATCACGTGCTGCTGTCCGTAATCAAATTTGGGATACCTGAAAGATTTTTTTTCAAGCAATGCATTTTCAATTCACTCGATTTAAATAGCTAAAAAATAAAAATCTTTAATTATAATAGATTCAAAACTACTTTTCAGTTCGTACATTTATTGTAAAATTTTTTAATTAAGTTTTATTGATGACCATATAGGTAAATAATATTGTTGAAACTTTGAATATTATATATTTATAATAATAAATACAGGTTGTTGTTTGTGTTGGTATGATACGTCTTCTGGTATAAAGATTAAATATATTTTAAAACAAATACAATTTTATCGTATTGATGTCGTACGTTAGGAATACGTACACTGAGAGAAATGGGCGGGTCTGGATGACCCACTTTGATGAGTCAACCGCGTCCGAAAATCGATGCACTTTTTTGACTCACTTGCCCCATTTGTGGGTCATACTGACCCATTCAATTTCAAGCATGACTCACTTGGGGCGTTAAATCACTCTGACGCCCAGATGCTAACTACGTATCCATGCTACGGGTGGCGTCATAAGAGATTTGACGTCACAAATGAGTCATGCCTGGAATTTAATGGGTCAGTATGACCCACAAATGGGGCAAGTGAGTCAAAAAAGTGCATCGATTTTCGGACGCGGTTGACTCATCAAAGTGGGTCATCCAGACCCGCCCATTTCTCTCAGTGTATAGGTGGACCATTTCTGGAAAAATAATAATCACTGAAGACTAATTAGAGATTAATACAGCAATTCAATAAATACATTTTATTGAATTTCCGCGCAAAAATGTGGAATCGAATTTCTATTTTCAACTATAGTAAGTGTATTAATTATTTTACTAATTATTTATATGTTTGAGACTATTTTATACTAAGCGATCGTTTTGATGCCTAATCGTTAAATTGGCACTTCAATGTCCTCTATATCAGGGAAGGCAATAAGGCTTAAATGATATTTAAATATTGTTATCAGTAAGATACATTTTTAAAGTATCAAGGAGTTAATCCTACAAGTTCATCTGCTAATATTTAAAGTCACGCTGACTGTAGTTTCGCTATTGCGGAACTACAATTCGATTAATTTACTCATTTTAATTAAATAAATTTAAATAACTTTTCTTGTATTTCTTAATTAAAATAAAATTTTCTTTATCAAATTTAAATAGGTTAAGTCAAATTAATATATTACCTTGAAAAATAGGCGGACCAGACTAAATTTATGGCCGCTACGCCTCAAGGCTTTTGCTTCGAAAGCAAAAAGCTTTAATGTTCTGCGAGCAAATTGATGCCATCGCGAGAAGAAAAAGCTGTCTGGGAAACCCTGATTTCGAAATTATTTTTCCTCGACTCTAAATCATACATGCTCTTTTTAATGTAGATATGATTAATAAGTTACATTGTATTAATTGATTGTATTACAGTATTACAGCTTGTATTACAGTATTTGTAGTAGTTACATTGTAGTATTTGTTTGCTTGTAAGAACTCGAATCAACGTCGACAGTTGGCGAAGGTCAAAGAAATTTAAAAGCTAGATTGGCATTTATTGTGTGACAAAAAGTACTCAAATAAACCATGATCAAATAATTACAATTTTTAAATGAAAATCATTCTTGGAGATCTAGAGCAAATAACTAAAAAATTTCGTCATCTCAGCCTGAAAAAAAAAGGAATTCATTACTAAAGAAAATTATTCCCGACCAGGCTTACGCATTTCATGATCAGTGAATTAATCGCTGAAAAATGTAACTCAGTACTCACTGCAGTGAGTGACAGAGAGCGCATTTTCTCAAAATCAACAAAAAAGTGAAGTCACGGACAGACGGACGGACGGACGGACATGACGAGCACAATAGGCATTTTTTTCGTAATGAGAAAATGAGCTAAAAATGGCAAAAAACTAAAATTACTAAAACTGATTACTAAATTCAATTACTAAACGGCGAAACATATATCCGCCATTTAGTAATTTCTAATTTAAGGAAATTATAAAATATTTTTATAAATGATATAAATGATGTCTCACTGATATAAAATATCAGTGAGACGATTTCCTGCTGATCCGATAAAATTCTTGGTTTGTGTGTGAAATTTAAAAATTTCAACTCCTCTTTTTTTATTTTTAACCCCTCTTCTAATTTTTAAACTCCTCTTCCCAGATTATTTATTAAAATTTTTAATTATAGGGTTCAAACTCCGACTATGGAAAGAATTCAAATATTTAGAAATAAAGTCTCTCATTGTGCAATTAAATTCCTGTTTTAAAATTTAGGCAATTAAATGAATAATTATATTATTTATTTAATCGGTCTGAATATATGTATATGCAAAATTTATGATATGTGTAATTCTAATCTGAATTATTTTCTTGATTTAGGCATAAAATTTTAAAATTTAATTAGCTACTTATGATGTTTGAAGAAATTTCCGAATTGAATGTATGAGTTTGAATTTATTAGGAAGGTAATTGCATTTAAAATAGCTATGTTATTTTTTCTGAAATTTGAGAAATTTTAAGACATGAAGAAAAATTGTTACGGAACGATATACCTAATTAATTGTAGAACTAATCTTGATCAAGGAAAGAAATTCGAATTTAATTAAGAAGTGCATGTTTGAGAAACTTTTTTTTGCTACCATAAAGAATTTCAAGATTGGAATAGAATCCTTCTAATTAAGGACAATAATTTTTAAATATAAATAGAAATTTTTGTTTTCTCGAAGTTTATCTGAATTTCTAAAAATTGTTGACATTATCGCTTTTTACCGGAGGAAATTATTTCAAGGAAAGAAGTTGTTAGTACATTTTTCAAGAAATAATTTTTTAAATAACACAGTACTGTGCTATTGGATACATTATTTAGATACGATTATTATCAGTAACTTTACAACTGAAATAATTGCTTCAATATCTATAAATATTTCAATATTCAATATTTCAATATTCAAATATCAGCTTCAGGGTTTCACAAATCGTTCCATTTTAATTGGTGTTCAAGCTAAAATAAGAATTCATTTTTCCGTAAGAGAAAATAGTGCTGTAACATGAGCTGCCTAGGAGGAAAACAGCCTTCAAAATAAGCTCGCAGAACAAAAAGAAAGTTTTAACCTGATGAACTTGAATTTTTACCGCGCATGGCAAGAAAATCGTTTACTGCTGGCACGTGTGTTTCTTTGATGTTAATGTTTTCAATGAAAATTAGTCTGAGATTACAACTAATTTCACTAATTAGTTGCATTATTTATTGATTATCGCCTGATTCAATGTGGATATCAGAATTTTTGACAGGAAATATATGAAAGAAAATTGTTTAAAATTTTCAACATCGTTTAAATATTTCAACAAAAAAATCGTATAAATTTTTCGACATAAAATTTTGTTATACAATAAGAGAAAAATTATTGGTCTTAGTGCCTTGAAGTTTTTCATATCCTTATCAAGGCGGCATTTCACAGAAGGATGTTATAGGATGCATTCTTGTACTGTTCTTCATCATTAAAAATCCTATACTGCAGCCTCGTAAGGACATCACCACACGTCTTCTGAATTTCTAGAACCTCGGAAAACCCGAATTTTTTTCTCCACTGGAAGGGCCGCGAAGTTGATAACTTAGACGTCGCAAAGTTCTCTTCGTTCGATTTAACTGCCATAGTTTTAGTGATTCTCTGCACATGGGTTACAGTTTTTATTGAAGTTTGTTCACCGAGTTTCTTCAATATTTTCCTCGTCAAAGTCAAAGGGTGCATAGCCAGGTCTTCGTAGCGCACTAAGATGTACCTGTTAAGTATAATAAATTTTAGTATTGTAATGGACAATTTCGAGTGCTAAGCTTTGAAGTAATCACTTTTAAACAGCAACACATTATTTATTAGAAACATTTCGGGAGATTATATACCTTGATCATAAATTTAAAATCGCAAAGCTGACTGAAAGGAATAGCAATAGACAAAGAACAAAGAAAGGTGAGGTGACAAGTTAACGATGAACCAATTTATAAGAAGTCATTTACACGAATCATACGTATTTTGAGCTACTGAATATTTCAACTGTCCGCATGAGACTGAGACATAGCTAGAAAAGGGATGTGTCGGGAAAATCGCCTACAAAACAATTCCACAACTGCCCTGCCTACACAACAACTTGACCCCACAACTGCCCTGCCTACACAACAACTTGACCCCACAACTGCCCTGCCTACACAACAACTTGACCCCACAACTGCCCTGCCTACACAACTTAAAATAATTAATAGTAAAATTTATACATGCAAAAAAAAAACAATTCACTAGACCCATGCATCTAAGAAATGTCAATCAATGGCTGGTTAGACTCGTATGTTATAGTTGCATCGCGCTTCAAATTTCGTTCATAAAAATTCACGAAGGAAATTTTTCTGATCGATGGATCCAAATGACTATCATTTCAATTGCCGCTTGACGTAAAAAATGGGAAGAAATATTTTTGCTTGAAGCCTAGCTCACACTCACTTGTCAGGGAAGGGGGTTCTTATGATGTGAGCTCTTTCCAAACCACTTCTCGAGCGTGAGCAAAAAAAAACTCAGCTTTGTGTGAAAAATATTCAAAAAGAAAATACTTTCAGAGAATATTATTCAGAGCGCAAGTAATTGAAGGAAATATGCTTCTAATACAAGCCGATCTCACACTTACTTGTCAGGGTAATGGGTTCTTAAGATGTCTGCTGTTTCCAAATCACTCCTAGTCCGTGAGCAAAAAAACTCAGCTTTGTGTAGGAAATCTTCAAGAACTATCACTTTTGACGACGCAAGTATCCCTCTCGGGTCCCGAACAAGATGCACTATTCTGATGTCCAAGTTCGGGTTGTTCTTCATGATGTCCAAAGCGACGCTCAGCTTGAGCGTGACCACCTTCAGGAGGTGGTTCTTCGACCTCTTGCAAATGAAACTGTGCAATTCCTTTTCAGCGCACAAGGGGAATTGTTTCCTATGACTTTGGAAACAGAAATCCATGAATGAAAAATCCATCATCACTTGATCTATATCAATTTCACACAGCATCACTTGTTTCAAATAACTGGATAGGAAATCTTCCGATTCATTAGAGGGAAATTTCATTCCAAGTTTGTAACGAACGGGTTCGGATATCGCGAATGTTTGTGGAATCGAAGACAATAAATACCATGTGAAAGAGGATCCTGATCGCACATTTGTCCAAACTAGGATTATTTTAGCGTTTTTGTTGCTCTGGATTGATGGGAATAAGTCCGTGCTGATGGCATTGATATTTTTCATTTGCCTGGAAATGAATTGAAAAATTATAAGGTTCATTTTATTAAGGTAAAATTAGGATATTCAAATTCATCAACCTGACATGGAAAAAAAGGCAAACTGTCAAAAACTCTCTCAAAGTTTACATATCTGGGTTAAAAATTCATCTCTGTTACTTCGATGCTTCGCAGTAATAAATCCAAAAACTCGTACATCAGATAGATAAAAATTTGTATTTTAACAGATTGTTTACCTGACTGTAACATCATTTTGAGGGAGCGCAGGTTGAAGATGATCTTGCACTTGTTTATCGCCTTGCCGATTATCATTAGAAGGAACAACTGATAAAAAAATTAAAGCTGCCACTGCGATAAAAAATATGAATATGAACTGAAAATTGGTCACTCGTACATGTGATCCAGGCATTTCAAAATTTTGTTAACTGTAACCGTAGAATTTATCTTTGATTACCACACAATGCATCTGGAAGAGTGGGCTTTGAGTTTTTTTTTGTGCTATTATATTATATAAATACTTATTTATTAATAGTAACAATACAGCATATGGTGTTGGAATATTATTATATGTTAATAATTATATTATCAGGGGATAATAAATCTACAAGGTGGAATAATGAAAAAAATGAAAATAGACATCTTTTTTGGGGAAAAATTTCCTCATTGTGTGTTACTTTGAATTAGGCATTAAACTTTTTGAGTGCAATGATTTCAATGATTGCCAGCTAGTTAACATTCGAAAATTGAAAACGCATTAATTCCACAGAGTTTCAAAAAAAATTATTTCATGAGAACTCATTTTTTCAGTCTTATTGAAATTTCATTTTTCAATAAGGACAATTCATTTTTAAAAGAACTTCATGGGAGGAAAACTAACTTCAAAATAAGTCCAGTGGGATAAAAATAGCATATCCGCAGTCATGACTTGAAAATAATTAGCTACACGACATGAAATTAAATTTTTGTTGACATGTGCGCTACATTTAAATGTTATTATTCTTCACTGAAAATTTATGAGATATAACGCGTCTCGTGAAGCTCATGAAACTGTTTTTCAAAAACTTTTCGGTTCAATAAAAGTATGAAAAAGTTCGAAGGAAAATGTAGTTATCCGAAAAAAAAGGAAAAATTCCCAGTCTATGCCCTTCAAAGTTTGTTATTTCACTATTTAGGGTAGCATTTCACAGAAGGATGCTATGAGAAGTATTACTGTATTTTTAGTCATCCTTAAAAATCTTATACATGAGCCTCGTTAAGACATCACCACACGTCCTCTGTATTTACAGCACTTCGGCAAACCCGGAAAAATTTCTCAAGTTAAAAGGACGCAACTTCGACAACTTTTCGGTTGAGAAAATCAAATCGTCAGATTTCTCCGACAAATTTTCGTGATTCTTTGCACGCGTGTTAATGTTTGAATTGTTGTCGGTTTACCAACATTTTTTCAAATCCATGTCAAAAGATGCAGAGCCAAGTCGTCGAAGCCAACAAAAATGTACCAGCAAAGCAATATGGTTAAAATTTTACAATAGAAGATTATTGTTATATTATTCAATATTATTATAATGGGTGGTTAAGATGGTTAAGATTATTACAATGGAAGATTATTATTTTAATGGTTAACATTATTATAATGGAACCTTGTGTTAGAAACCCTTCAGCTATGAAATTATCTGACACATAGGGTAAAACGTTGTTTGTCAGCAACGTACTCGGGAAAAATTTATTGCATTATTTGTTTAATAAGTTTGCCTTTTTCGAGTAATTTAGCTTATTTTTCACATAATTTAGCATTACCGATCGAATACCGGTCCCTTTTTTTTATTAATTTTGCATTAATTACTCTAGCAAATGGAAATTATTTCCGAAATGGCAGTAACGGCTGCTGTCACTTCAGATCTCGAAGATAGTGGCCCTGTAACTTTTCATATACCCTTGAGTAATAGTATATACATAAATATATATATTTTATAAATCATTACATCTGTTATATTTGCAAACCATGATTTTTATATATTTTTTAGTCGGACTATGCTAATTTAAGGAAAAGATTTGAATTAAAAAATTTAAATGCACTTTTTAATTTGTATATTGAAATTTTTATTCCTTAAAAAATTTTACGCTAAATTTCTAGCGGACTCTAAAGTTTTTTCCGTGTTGAAGGTTAGTTTGATGGGGTATTTCTTTTATTAACGTACATCAGTGTAAAAATTTTGAAATGGGGTTTGGACGAAAGGATTCTATATGGCGGGATTCTTGATGAGAGAACAAGAATAATGTGATTCTCAAATTTTTATAGGTGTTACCCGGAAAGTTTCCGCATATTTTCGATGAAGATCCTTCTAATGTTCCAATTTTATTTTTTCAATCAATTTCCTTTTTATAAACATTTTTCGTCTGTTTCAACAGCCTCCTCGTAACAATTACACTATCTGATTAAATTTAGATTTATCTAGGCTTGAACAACTACAATATTACCATGACAATAATATTCACAGTGGATTATTTGAAAATCGAATTGGGAAATTTGTACGAATTGGGAAAATCGAATTGGGGAATTTACGAATTTATACATCTATCTATTTGTTGCACCGAAATTAAAATGTATAAGTCTGTTCTTTCAACATTTAATTATAAAAGTGAATTTTGGCAACGTGATTCAACGTATAACACTTCCATATAAACCCTCAAACTTACAAAAGTTTTTAATATATTTAATATTTTGAATATATATGAAGTTTTTTTGAAGTTTTTGAAATTTTTCTTACGGTGCGATAATATCAAGAGCATTCTTCCATCTCAGCAATAATAAGCTAACTTTATTAATAATTTTAATAAAAAGTGAGATGAAATTAATGCATTTTTCCCTGTCTATTACCCATATAACAATAGTTTTTACATGTGCATTTCTCTAGAGAAAGTAGGTGGAAAAACAGCTGATTCTTTGACGTATCCATATATGTCAAAGTAATAACTTAAAAATGATGATGAACAGTTTAGTGAAGAGAATGTTGGATGACTCTTAATCATTGAACATACATAAATATGGACGTCTGACATTAATCTTTTTAAATTAAAAAAATATATGTCGAAAAATATATAACCGTTCAAGTTTTGGTTCCTTTATCAACAGTTTCTTGAAGACAATGTTGGATGACTGTTAATCATTGAACATTCATGAACATGAAATACGTTGAGAAATTTTAAATGTCGGATAAATTATGTTTATCTTCCAAGTTCTACTAACTTTAGCAATAGTTTGTTTAGGAGAATGTTGGATAAGTATTACTCATTAAGTATTCATGAACATGAATCTATTAGGAACTTTTCGAAATCAGAAGATATATGTTAACTTTTCAAGTTCTGGTACTTTCAAGTTCTTCAAGTTAACTTGACGACTGCTGGTCAAGTTCTGGAGATGGTTGTCGCCACAGTGCCTCAGCCGAAGGTTGGAAGTACAACTGAAGGAAGAATAAATAAGTTGAGTGTGCTACTTATTCATTTCAACTCAGCAATTTCTTCAAATGTGCAATTAGGCGGAAACTACTGCATACGAAGCAAGGAAAAATACTGCTGCTTGGATTTTGCTCCACGGATTAAAAAAGGAATGGATAGTTTTCCACGAAAGCTATTTTTACTTTGGACACGATGCGGCTAAGGGTTAAGGCTGATTTTTCCTCCACGTTCTGAACTAATGTAATGTTAAAATGTAAATACCTAAACGAATATTTTTGAAAAATATATTTCTAATCAGATTAGTTTTCATTTAGCTCGACGTAGTTTCCTCACCGCGTTTCACTCACTAATTTAATATAAATATATTATATTGTATTATATTATTATTATTATATTATTATTATAATATTATATTAGATTATGTTATATATCAACAATATCATATCTATATAATTTTATTATGTCGGTGTTCTGTTCTCAGTTAAGATTTGAAATTAGGGTGCGTTTGTGCTTTGTTCTTTTTTGGTGAGTAATATAGAGTTTGTGAGTCAGTGAACGTGACGATGATAAGTAAGGCAAAGTTTGTGAGCACGTAAATAAATATTGTGAGTAATGCAAAGTTTATGAGTCTGTGAACGTGAATATGGTGAGTAAGGCCGAGTCTGTGAACGAGTCTGTGTGAATACAGAGTTTGTAAGTGAACATGACGAAGATGAGTAAGGCAAAGTTGTGAGTCTGTGAACGTGACGATGGTGAGTAAGGCTGGTTCCGTGAGCAGATCAGCTGTAAATAAAGCAGGATCAGTTAGTCTGTGTGTGTTTAGGGAGGCGGGCGCTGAGAGGGTAACTACCCTCACTACCCTCACAGCCCTCAGTATGCCCTGGTTGCCCTCATCGGTCGGTGCAGCGGCCGTATCCTTATATACACTGACAGAACTAAATGGGACTTTGTCCAAATAATTAAATGGGACTTTGTTCAATTAATTAAATGGGACTTTGTCCAAATAATTAAATGGGACTTTGTTCAAATAAAGTTACACTTGTGCCTTTAAGTCATCATGGCTCAATTTGAGCTGGCAGAAGGACGTATCAGTGCTACATGTGGAAAGTGTTTATTTTTTCTAGAAAATTCCAGGCTCGTATTTTTAGGCTATTTTGAATCAGTGTAAATAATCTATTTTGTTATTTTATATTATGTAGTAAAGAGTTAGTATCAACTATTTAGGCTATGTGGTATCCTGCCATTTAGTCAATACTTTACAAAATTAGGTAAGATTTGGATCTGTCAAAATAAGCTAATTATGCAATACATTACAATACAACACAATACAATACAATACAATAAAATACTGTGCAATACAATACTGTACAATACAATACAGTACAATACAGTACAGTACAATACAATATAATACAATACAATACAATACAATACAATACAATACAATATAATACAATACAATAAAACACAATACAATACAATATAATACAGTAAAACACAATACAATACAATTGATCGGATTCGGCGATTGAATTTATCACATGATTATACTGCATAGCAATCGGATACAAACGCATTGTTGTTTTGCTCTATCTAATATTGTAAAATATTTTTCATAGTTTTGTAAGTACGCTTTTGAACCCATGTATTTTCAGCCATTTTATCTCAGTGAATAATAAATATTTGCTATTAATTACTCTGTGCAATTTAGACCATAGACCATCAGGGCGCTTTATCATTCAGCAATTCATAGCATACACTCAACAACGGCCATACATTGAAGATTTATTAATACATTTATTATTTTTATCGATCTATTCAAGTGTTTTCGAATTTTTTCATTATTAGATTCAAGT